TTAACCTGTTGGATGTTGAATATTTTATCCGTCACGTGTCGCTCCACGTCGAATATTTTTCGATGTTAAGCCTAACGCGATCACACGTTTTAGAAAAATAATAATTGTGGCTATAGTATTATTCTGAATTACTTAATATTTTTTACACACAAAATAGACATATTAGGGAATGTAAAAAACAAAAAATTTTATTTTAAAAGTTAAGTTTTGTGTGATATATCTCAAAACAAGGTACAACACACAGTGGAGCATTACATTTTACACATTGATAACGTGATTCTGCACGTTTTTTGATAGCCGAACATACTTTACATACTCTGGATGGATGCTTTTTTTTCTCTGTAGGTGGTATGAGACTAGGAAAATGCCGTTCTGATAAACGTAATGGATTTTCATGTGATGGTCGACCGCGGCGAACTAGATGTCTGCTTGTGTGATACTTTTCTATCACTTCTCTGATTACAGACATACGAAAATCTAAAAATGATATTTGTATTTTCGTATGTTTTCGATATAAAATACAGGCCTTATATAATGTAATATCCATCATATGAAAAAACACTTTTTTGTACCATTTCACCGTTTTTCTCATGCACGGATAATTGTGTTTTACTCCGTCACAGAGATCGATTCCACCCATATTGCGATTATAATCTAGTATACAATTTGGTTTTATAATTACTTTATCTAAATTAACCTAAATTAAATAAATATTCAATAACTTCTAACTTGTTTAGAGAGCTGTGTCTACTACTTCCTGCCATGTCGAAAAACAGAAACGAAATGGTCTAATTTTCTTTGTGATTTCAAACAAAGAACTATTCCTAGAATTTCGACAACCTGCTGAGAAAAACTAGTTAAAATAACGGTTCTTCTGATATACGTCACTTACTTGTAAACAACATACAAGTAGCGACATCTTATGTTAAAAAACGTTCCGATGTAAACACGTAAATTTTCGGGATCGCCCACACAGGTAAATGAGGTCAACCCGAAAATTTTCGGGATCAACGTTCAACAGGTTAATTATGAAAATATAATAGCATGTTTTTTTTTAATTTTTGGAACCTAACCCCCTTTTTGTACTAATTCTTTGTTTCATATAACACAGATTCGCATAACACAGCAATTTTTTGGAACATAACTCATGTTATACAGGGGTTACCTGTACTTAAATAGACATTACACTCATTTATCTGCTCACTATTGCTCACTCTGCTCACATTTGAAACACCTTAGCAGGTGTTTCAAATGTGAGCAGAGTGAGCAAATGTGATTTTTCACCTAATGCACTTACTTTTATAATGACCCATTTAATTTTTATGGTAATAAAGCAACACTTTTTGCATTTAACTTCACTGCTAGATTTACTATTAGTTTTTGGTTGCATTTTTGAAGCACTAATTGTTAAAGTTTATAAAAATGCAAACAATAGTGAAAAATGCCATTACTCTAATGTTACCACCTAACTTCAATCCATCTCACAACTGGAATGAAACATCATAATTCATATGAAAACAAAAAATTGACAATATGTAATAGAAATAAGTTCACATTAATTATTTATTACAAATCATGCTTCATATAGAACTATTTGAACTTGAAATATTTTAAAATTAAATAATTATTTTAAAATATTTCATGTTTGTAAGATTGTTTATAATTATGCTTCCTTATATGACAGTTTTTGATAGCACAACAGTCAAAAACAGACACAGAATAACTGCAATATATATGAAATATATTTAACAAAACAAAATAAAATATAAAATTAACACACAAGAGTTCAGATACTAGTTACAGAGAGCAGTCTTCCATTTTATCAAAATCAACAAGATGCATGTATCAGCAGGGGTGGTAGGATGCAATGGAAGTACTGCTTTCCCTAGTTTTGAATCCTTCTTTGCCAATGGAATCAACTGAATATAACTAATGCATTATAATTTGAATGAGAGGCAGATTTGGCCATGACAAACAAAAATTGTAGACTTCTATGGCCATATATACAATATTAGATATAAAATCATGTTGATTAGTAATGAAAAAATAAAGATCTATAGGAATGGATAGCAAATAAATGGCTGATCCACCACTTCTTTGTGTTGACAACTTCTAGGTGTAATCTGAAAATAAAAAATCTCTCACAACACATATTCTTTAATTCAGATTGCACATTTCCCCCATGTTTCATGACAGCAGGATCTTTGTTATGTTCAATCAACTTGTAAACTTGTAATCTTTGTCACAAAGGCATTTAAATGCTGCCAGAAAGGTCCAAATAAACAATAACTGGCATACATACCTTTCAAAAACATGTAGAAGTTCTCAAAGCAGTCAGGTCATAAAGCAATACTCACATTCACATATTCCAGAGAATATGGGAAGATGTAAGTTTGAGTGTTGTCTGATGATTTGAATGCTGTGAGAACTTATATCCTCTAAAAGAACCTTTGCCTCTCTAATTATATCTAGACAGGCCAATCTGTGGACTCTAATGCAGTGATGATTATGGGGTCAACAATTCATATTTTATTGCATTCACATTGCCAACAAATAGATAGATTCATACGAAAGCAAAGTTCAGAAATGGAGGATTAGATACAACAAAATAAATTAAATTAATAAATGAAAGACAAGAAGTGAGTCAGGACAAAGGCAAAGCACAGAGAAAAATGCCTAATACACCTCAAGCACAGTTGTTCTTTATGACTAGTATTGTTTTTAAGTTTTGATCTGATGATAAAACGTAAATCAACTCAAAAAATATATCACAAATAAATAAATTAAATTAATGAAAAATAAATACATTTGAAATAGTTTTGTATTGTAAAAAGCAGAGGTCTGATGTGATCGTTTTTATGTTATATTATAAAAAATAAATGTAAAGTAAACTTTTCTATTTCTTACCATTTCAATTATTATTGAAAAAACAAATTCAGATTTAATATTGAAAATTTCTAGAAATGTATTTTATATTAAAAATATATTATAACTAAGTTTATGTTAAATCTTAAATTCAACTGAAACAAAGCAATAACTTTTCATTATTTATCTTAATTTTTATGATTTAAAATTTAATGAAAATAAATGAAATTTTCATAAAATACTTCTAATATACTGTAATTGTATTTCTTTACCAATGGATTAGCAGCGACATCTATCATTGTTTCTTTCCATATACAATTTACTTGAGCAAACAATTCCCCTTCAGTAGGCATTTGTTTTATAATGTCTGCATTTGAGAATATAGGTTCTAAATATAACCATTGTGATTGAACTTTTAACCATTCATCTATTGTATCTTCTATTAATAGTAGTTGCTTTTCCCAAATCTAAAAACAAAACAAGTTTATTATATTGAATTTAAAAACAACCTGGATAATTTCTCAAAAAATGTTAATAATAACTATAAATTAATCAATAAATTCAGTTAACAGATGACATATTAATCATTTTTGGGTTTTATTGTCAGAGCGAGGTGAAGCTGAGTGATGACTAACACGTGACTTCGTGCATCCCTTGTCAACATTATAACTCTAGAATGAGTTGTCCGAGCTTGATGAAATTTTCTAGAACGACTCATCATCTCTCAAAAATGAACTGATTAAAATTTCAACTCTCAAAAATGATCACTTTTGTAGAACTGGAGATAGGGGTCAAAACAAAGGTCACATTCTTCAGTATTAGAGATCAAAATGAGCTGAATAAGGCTATATCCTATGTGGTAGCATCTATTTATTGAGCCTATTTATCCAGAGATGAATTTGATCAGTTCCAAATGGCAGTAGAGCTATATCTAACAAATGAGCATGTTAAACAAAGTGTAGTGAATGGTCACTAAATGTATTTTATTGTAAATTTGTCTTCAATTTGGTGTATAAATATTAGTTAGGTGATTAGTTTTGTGTTGTAAACAGCGAAACGGGAATGAATTCCATTTTGTATTAAAAAAAAACCACTCCCAGGAGGTATTGTATGTCACATACCACCATTTGATGAGTGAGGCTTGTAATTGGTTATTGGCTATTCGACAAAGTCATGTGTGTAGTTAAGTTCCAGGATGATGGGAGCTTTTAAATAGTGTGTATTGTGCGTGGTCGGACACATTTTTCTTTGGGATATTTGCCTGGACTGGACTCATAAGGATTGATTGAGTGAAAGAGAGAAGGTAAGAGATATTTGCTCATAGCACAGAAGACAAGCAGAGGACCGGTGAGATCAAGAAGAAGGAATCCATCTTCTCCATCAATGTAAGGACACTGCATATGCCCTATACAACAGGGGCACCATGTGATAAAGTAGATATTTGTCCAACTATCATAACTATTTTGTTTATGGAAACCCTTTCAACACGTGTTGATACACTTTGTTAGTGGGGTGAACCATCGTAAGATTGTGAATGTGTGAACGTGTCACACACACACAGGAATATCATCTGTAAATATCTTTGTATCTGATTAGGTTAAGCTCGCGGTTTCCTTTGTCTCCCCTTATATTTTTTTATATATGTTTTTTTCCATTATTTTAATAAAATTTGTAATTTGTGTCTCATTACCTTGTTAAGTTGTAAAATTTGAGTGAAAAATTTATATTTTATATTCTAAAAACTAAATTTTCAATTCTTTTTTTTTTTTTTATTTATATACGCTTATATAAAAAGAAAAACATGCCAGAAAGGTCCAAATAAACAATAACTGGCATNTGGACAAGTTGAAACTAACCAAAAAAGTACATCTGTATACAGAATAATCATTTATTGTTAGTGTTTGATACTTCAATATACAGGTAACTCCCATATAACACGGCACTTTTATAGCACGGATTCACTCTAACATGGTTTGAGAATTGGGAACATCCCCATACAACACAGTGCTTTTATAGCACGGATAAATATTGTAATAATTATAGAACTTTAATTTAAAATTTTATCTACTATAAAACATAAAATTAATATCTATAATTGTAAGGTTCCAGATGTGTCTGAAATTGCAACAATTGCATTGATTGTATAAAAATTCCTGAGACAAAAATAAAGTGAACATTATATAAAGAAGAAAGAAAAAACCTGTAGTTATCCAAACAAACGTGACACAGAAATAAACGAGGAGTCTCGAAAACTCAAACATTTGATAGATCATAGATAAATGTTGATCCGGAGAGATGGAACTTTGACAGGGGTGCTCATAGTGCTGTAATTTAGTTCATGTAATGAGCCCTGTACAAGAATTTGCATTTAGGCCCCTAAATTAATTAAGTTTGGTAAAATAATAAAACAAATACATGCATTTTGGGCCCCCTTCCAAGGGGAGTCCTGTGCAGGTGTACCTGTTGCACCTGCCTAGTTATGGCACTGGGTGCTCATATATTATACAATTGACCTAAATTAGAAAATCGGAAAAAGGGGGAAGGGTTGATAGTCAAAGGACATCATGTTAGATCATTGGAATTCTAAAATGTCAGAGAAGAGGCAATAATAGAGTAAAATACAAGTGCAGGTTTCATAATTCCATCAACATCTCCTGATCAGAGTTGAAGAATGGTATCAAATAACTCTTCAAAATGTACCTTTCTTGCAACTCAAACCGGTCTCAGTTTTCACCTGGAAACAAGGGAGAGATCAATCAGGAAGTGAGACAAGGGAACTAGAACCAATCAAAAGGTGAGATTTGAGGGAGAAAACTATAAAATCTCAAGGTCAAGATGGAGATCTTCACCCATTGTTATGCGCGATAAATCCGTGTTACTTCTGCCTGGAACACTCCCGTCATTACTCAACTTTGACATCGCCACCCAACTTTGCCAAGCAAGCATCAAGACCAACCATCTCATTGTCATTGTCTCTGCCTGAGGTCATCATGAACCCTCAATATAAGGATCTAGATCTGATGTGCCAACCTCTTTACCTCATGTGGACTGTTTCAAATGAACTATTGAACAGCCTTTGGATGACAAACTGCCTATTGACATTAATGCAAGCAATTTCTATAATAAATGGTTTTTGTAAGGATGTGTAATCTCTGCCTCCAGCACCACCACCCACATACAAACAGTCCTAGGGTCTCCCTGATGTGGAATTAACTGATCCAGACAACTCACAAAGAAATACTGAGTGATCACATACTGATCAAATACTGAATGATCACTTTCTACACACTTCTATCATGTTCAATCATAGTTTCTTGTCTATTGTAGTTTCTTCTATACTTTTAATTGTGTAAAAAACCATTATTTTAAAACTTTGCAGAGACTAACCTCTAATAAAAGGTTGTCTCTACAAAGAACAACTGTTTTGTTTCTTGTAATTGGGCTTGATAGAAGTGTGAAGAATTAGTTTCTTCTATATTTTTAATTGTGAAAATGTACCCTCAGCCATTTTACTTGAAATTAAAAATAATAATAATATATCAAAAAATTATATCTAAGTTTATCATTCAATTATTAGAAAGAGATTACAATAGCAAATATCAATAATATATTGCGCAAGCTCACAAGAAAGGTACTTGAGCAGGGTTACAACCCGCTATGGTCCCAAGCAGTTATGCTCAAGAGCTCATCAATAATATATGTTATTGTATGTCAAATTAAGAAATAATAATAATAGTATATAGTCATCAAATAAAATATTTAAGAATTAGTAATTAGAAATAAGAAATTTCATACTTCTGAAAGCCATTGTTCCACTTGACCATGTGCTAACTTTGTATCGATGCATGTTATCATTGAAACTTTTTCACCTTCGGAACTGAACATAGCATAAATAACTAAATTATTGTCAAATTCAAGCTTGTCAATTCCTTCAAAGCATTTTTTTAAATATGGTTGAACGCGTAAAGGATTTTTAGTTTCAGAGAGAATTTCCAAAATTTCATTATCAGACAAAAAGAAGAATCTAAAATCATTTAAAAACTTNTCTTTTGACATAGTAGCTATCAAGATCTGAGTTGCTAAATTTTGAGGAACCATGTTCTCATTAAAAATAGATAAACTAGTAATATATGAAAATTTTCTTTTATATTTATTATTAATAAATATTAAATTTTGCATATAATAATTTTAGTATCCTCTTGTCTTATTTCCATTTAGGATTTGTAAAATTCTAACCTTTGGCCTCCAATAACATACTTATTCATTTCTGGCCCTCAAACATTCTGAAGTTTGCTATACAATACCCTAGTTAAAACTATTGCAGTTTCAATTGGATCATACTAATTTATGATACAAAAAGATGCATAAGAATTATTCTGGAATTTTATTTCCTGTTTAAATTGCTTCACTATAAAAACATTGTTAAAAAGTTTGTAATATTGTAATATTGTAGTGGGAATAACAAATGATGTCTATGACTGAATTAGCAAAGAATGTCTTTTCTAATCCATTCATACAGGATTATAACTTTGTAGTTATAATCCTGTATGATTGTAGATGTAGATTGCTCAAATAATTATGTACATCTTTGTAATTAGAGAGAATTTTTTATTGTTTTTTTTAAATATTTTTTAAATTAATAAAAACAACTGCTATTTGAAATGTCAATCAATTTAAGTTATGAATACTTAAAAGAAGAATTTATTTTTACCTATCTTCTAGTTTCTCCCAGCTCAAAAAGTTTGCATAAAGTTTGATGTATGGCTCCATTTCTTCTGTAATAGTTTGTGCTAGAGGGAACTTTGTAAGTTCAATATTAAACAATACTTCTTCCTACATGAAATATATGATTTATATCAGAACAATATAAATAATTTTGTAATTATTTAGTTTTGAAATTTGAGTAAATTATTTATATAAATTACAAAACTTTTAAATTAAATTAAATTGTTTTTTTAATTGTAATTTAATTTTAAAATAAATTATATGCAAATTGTTTAATTTTGAAAAAAGTTTAAAGGAAACAACATTTTAAAGAGAAAAGCTAATATTGAAAAACTTTGGCATGATTCATTAAAATTCTACTACAGATCTGAATAAATTTAACTAAAGTAAATATGAAAATTTTAATAGAAATCAAATTACTAAAGAAATAAATATTATAGTTTATTAGATCTTAACATAGTTATAAAAATTAATGTAATGATGATGTTTCTAAGCATCAACAACTTAAACTTTTAACTATTGCTTTTAATAAAGTTCTTTAACTTGTTACTTAATTATTTATAACTGAATATAGACCTGTATTTTTCTTTTAGTATGTGATTCTTCACATATTTCTCTGAAAATATTAATACTTAAGTAATTTTTCCATATGTTTTGTTTTAAAGATCTAGAAAGTAGTCATTATTAAAACACATTTGTCAATATTGCTCTTGATTCAATACTCAAAATTCAGTATCAATTAACAGAGCAAATCAAATAATGGTACTCCTTGAAACCAACTCTAAAATTCTGGTTAAATTTAAATACATTTCCTTAAGATTATAATTTTCTCTAAAAATAAAGATATTAAAACGTTGGAGAAATAAAATATTTTTTTGTTTTTTAAACAATAAAAATGATATCTTCCAAAGTTAGCACTCAGGGTACATACCCCCATCTACTCCATTCTAATTATATCACTGTTAATTAGAACTGTAGACTTATGCAATTTCAAGTTTCATGAGATACAAACTTTTCATTTACATTCATTTATGTAGGAGAAATGTAAAACTAATAATGAGTCTATATAAATATTGACTTAAATAAAAATTATTGTCTTTCAATTAAAAATGAAACACAGATTGCTATTACTAATTTTTAAGATCTGCACTTCTTACACTATACAAATTAAAGAATTTACAAATTTATATATTTTTTTCAATTTAAAATATGTACTGAAACATTACATTATTATAATTCTAAAACCTCTGTCATTATTTACAAGGAAAATAATAAAAATTGTATATATTTATATTTTGTTCACATGTAAGTCAATCAGATTAATGTACAGTGAGATATGNCATTTTCCTCCTGTTCTTCAATCTCCTTCTCTAGTTCTACCAACCCTGGTGGCTCCATTCCATATTTGGCAGCAATTCGTCCAAGTTCTAAAAGGCATAAGACCACAGCCCTAGTCTGTGTATGTAAAACAAGTCCATCCGATTCGAAAATTACAGCTTCATGAACTCCGAATTTTCGGCACGGCACCATTTCAAAAAATTTTCAGTGTTATCTCGGGCATAGAAAGATTTTGATTTGGCATTTTCCCAGCATTTAAACTTTACCGTAGGAACAATCTCATCAGTTAACCCATTCTTCCTATATTCTTCCGCTCTTTTTTGAATAAGCTGAGCTAAATGGCACACTATCACTCCATTATCAAGTTTATAGAGGAAGTTGTCGGCTGTAATTTCTTCGATTTCTAATGTTTTATTTAACCATTCTGCCAGGTCTTCTTTTAATGGGATCAGATGTTGTTCCTGTTTCAGTGCTATTTTCTTCTGTAAATCTTCTTCGGTGCAATCCGGTGAGAAGTCGACATTTTTCTGCCAAGAAGCTGCCATTTTCCTTTGCAAATAAATTATTTTCTGACTTTACTGCATCCCTAACTTAACACAGACCACCAGTCAAGTAAGCATCCTTTCTTCTCAATCTCCTTCATTGTTTCCGCCTTTCGCACGCCTACCCAATAAAAAAAAAATGTCTAGATCATTTTGACCATCCAAGACACTACAAAAGCAACAAAGACTACTTGCAGTTAACTGGGTGCTGCAGTTGCTGTTGCTGATATAGCATCTGAAAAGACTCCAAATATTGCCCTGCCTTTGTCCAAAGATGGCTCAGCTCTTGTTCTCTCTAAGTATTTGAATCTCTGAGTTAATGCCAGAATCATGCTGATAGTCAACTTATGGGTGAAAGGAGGTCTTGTCAATGGTTCACTAGGAACTATACACTTCATATATGCTCCTAATGCTTACCCTCCAGCTCTTCCTCTATTTTAGTGGAATTCAATAGCTATCAGGGACCTTTCATCTATGGTAATCTGTTTCCAATAATCCCCATAACAAACTCTTCGAACAATGGCAGTATATTGCAATTTCATAGACAGTTTCCCCTTAACTTAGCATACTCGATGACTCTACATAAATCACAGGGATTAACTCTTCCAAAAATCAAAATAGATACAGGTAAAAAAGAGATAGCTATCAATCTTACCTATGTTGCTTTCAGTCGAGTGAAAAAAATAACTGACATAGTATTTTTAAATAGTTACAATAACAATTGCTATAAGTCAATCTGTAAGTCCAAGGTCCATAGTGATAGATAGAATTTCATGATACATTGGCATAACAATTAATTAATGGCTTATTCTGCCCTTATATTTTTACCTTTAAATGATAGAATAGAAATCAAATATATTGTTGAAAACAAATGATTCTTTCTCTCTTTTTTCCCTCATAATCTAGAAAATGAAGGTGTGAGCAGCCTCGCTCTGACTACATGTTGATACAGCATTACCTAACTAGTTTATTACAGAATATACATATATGGTTTTTCTGCATTTTTGGAAATAAAATATTTAAAAATTAATTACTTTATAAAACTATTTAAATAGTCTCTTACTTTTCTTTCTTTTTCAAAAGGTCGAGCAAATGGAGATCCTTTCATTGTTTGAATTTTCAAAATATGATCATCCAATAATAACTGAATTTCATCTATAGATGATAATATGTATGTATCCTCATGCTGAGCAATGGCAAAACATACGCCAATCCATTCACTTTTCAATTTATCAAAAGTTGTCTTTAATATGTATTCCTAAAATAATTGAATTAAGATATTTTAGTAATTACAAATTAAAAATTATTTGTATGTATTTATATGGGAAATTATACCCCGACTTACGCGAATTCGACTTACGCGGTTACCGCTCAGTCCCACCTATCGCGTAAGTTCGGGGTATTACTGTATATTATAATATGCAAAATTTTGCTAATGAAATAAATGTATTAAATTATTGTAAATTCATAAATTTAAAAGTGAAATTACATTAATTTTGATTCTAAATACAATAATTATAATTAGAAATACTGCAATACTGAATTATGCCAAAAGGATCCGATACAAATGATTTTTCAATTGATCTAATCCTTGCATGTATCCATAATCTACAGGTGTTGGTAATAAATAAAGCCTAAAAACTCATTAGTTTAGATAACATTCACTTTGTGCACTAACCATTTAAATCCAAACAAAAACATCTAAGATGTAAAAAAATTATGCCAAGCAAAAATTTATGACAATTTATATGATGGTCAAAATTTTTTTCTTAAGAGTTTTTCTTTGGTAAAATAAGCTAGGCACTTGGAGGTAAAATGTAGAAAACAATAATACAGTAAAAATCTTGTGAATACCACTTCCAAGTGCCAACAGAGCCGGCCCTACCATATGGCAAACGGAGCAGCCGCTCCAAGCGCTAAGTCCTAGGGGGCGCCTTAGTGGTAAAGAAATATAAAGGAAAAAATTTTTTTTCACTTTTCGATATTTTCGGGGGCGCCATAATAGGATCTAGCTCCATCCTAAAACTTGCCTCGGGCCGGCACTGAGTGCCAAGCTTGTCTTTACCAAAGAAAAACTCCTAAGAAAAATTTTAACCATCATAAAAATTGTCATAAATTTTTCTTGGCATAATTTTTTTACATCTCAGATATTTTTGTTTGGATATCAATTGTTTTTGTTTAATAATTGTATTATTACATCAAGACATAAGATGATAATACACAATTTGATCAGCACTCAGCAAGTAAACACACTGCTGACCAAACATGTTGCAAACCAATGCATCACCAATCAAACACATTACCAACCGAGGCTCTCAATACACTGTTTAGAAAAATCATTATAAAAAGTTCTCATTCACATAAATTTGAGCTTTTCTTATTCTGAATAACACTTTGAATAAAATTCATTTGTTTCCTTGCAATTTTATCTTTATAAGCCGTGGGAGCTGCAAAGATCCATAGTGTGAAAATTCACAGGAGATGGATGAAATTGATTACCACAAGAGACAGACGAATAAGAAAGTCACTTAGAAAATAATTTTATGTACAAGAAAATATATAAAGTATCTCCACAAATTTAACACATAAACAGCACATGACAAAGAGTCCTTCAGTGAAGAACAAAAAAAAAAAAAAACAGAGATCCAAAAAGCAGTTTAAAAATGTTTGCTGGGTGATATTGTAGACCAACAACGTTTTCACTTATTGTCAATGTATATTGTGTTTCACAAGTTTTTTACCCGATGTAAACGGATTTACAACACCATAAATTTTCACCAAACACGAAAAAGAAAGAATGTTCACCTCCATGCACACAGCTCCAAGGCAAGACACACTTTCACAAGCTGGAAACCAAAATGACCAGTTGTCAGTAGGGATTGTAAATTTACCGACTTTTTCATTTACCGGTAATTCGGTAAATGAAAATTAAAATACCGGTTTACCGGTAAATTACCGGTAAATTTTTTTCTTGAAAAATAAAATTAAGGTGATAAAAAATGTAAGTCATTATNAAATATAATATAAATATATTATATTTCATATAAATTTAAATATAAATAAATTAAAATAATAATAAATAGTCTAAAGGAAACATTTGACAGTGTTTCACATATTTGGCTGTTTCATACACTGCATATTTATATCCCACATATAATATTTATCACATTTCTAGAATACAACTCATAACATTGAAGAACATGAAAGAGCATAAATAATAATATTGTGTTGTTATGAACACAACACAATATTATTATCTATGCTCTTTTAGACTATTTTTCAAGATTCTATTAGAACTCTTCACCAAACAAAGACCTGGCATCATAATCAAGTTTTTACAGAATAATGTGACAAAGCACTTGTTCCAGCCAGGCTATTTGGTAACCAAACTGTTGTAAATATTTACTGCTAAAGTTAGCTTGCATTGAGTCAGAGCCAGAGAGAAGACTCCAAATCTCAACAACTAATACCTTAATACTTACACCTTAGTAACAACACTTACATCATATTGCTGAAAGTACTAATATTAATAGTAAATATATAATGAATCAGTTGTTAAATAGTTATACCATGATATTGACCTGAAAAAATAAACTAAATATTATATTTACAAATAACCTTAATAATAAAAAATTTCAAAAATTATTAAAATTAAGAAAAGATACTTTTAGTTTAAATATTCTTTTTATCTAAAAACATAAAATACCTTTGAAGCAGCAATTGCTATTGGTTTAAATTTATCTAAATAATTTTGAACTTGCATAGACAGCATCTTATGAAGAGTCATTCGATAATCAGGAATTAACTTTTGGCCAACAATCGACGACATTTCTTCCCAATGATAAATTTTTAAACCAGGACTACATATTATATCAAGTGTTGGCAAATATTGCTGTAAGAGAAAGAGAAACTTTAAATTATCATTACAATTTTAGAATTTAATAGTGTAAATGTTTTAAATAAAATATTCATTTAATTGTAACACACTAAACTGCCTTATAAAATATAACAAGATAAAAATTATCAACATCTTTTAGCGAAAAGGAAATAAACTGTTTATTTAATCATTTCAAATGTTTTTGGTCATTTCTAATAAAGTTGGTCATTTTTTTAATAGAACAGTTATTCCTTTGGGAGTTATGAGGTAATTGAAGACTTAAACCAACTTATTGATTTAGATTACAATAATGTACAATGTAGTAATTTTCATTACTATATACAGACTATTTGTTTGGTTGATAAACTCTTTCATTAAAGATAAATCTCACTATAATTTAATAATACTACTTCAACTGAGATTAAGCATTTGGATTCTAAAATAAAAATCAAATATAATTATTTTAGGAAAGGAATGTTATAATTTTTTCAATAAAAATGTATTTTTTGTATTCTATATTTTTATAGATTGTAGAGTTCAAAATTATAAGAAATAATTATTTATTTAATATTGATGTTACAAAATTAAATAAAGATAATTTTCATGTAATTTTTCATAATATTACTAAATTATCAATTATTAAAATATCTAATTATGTAATAGAAGTATTTGAAAAGATGTCAGATGAAAATATATAATACTGAATGTAATACTAAAGATTGATATATGTAATTTTTAGAGTGGCTTTTATAAGAAATGTAAATATATATATAAAATGACCATCACCAATCCAGAATTATTGGGACCTGTAGAATGCTGGATTAGTGATTTTTCCAAATCATAAAATGGTTATATTAGAATACATTTAACTCAACAATTAACCAATTCATCCTACCTTTAAAATACCCTGCAAATTACTACAAGTCAATTAACAAAAAGAAAAAAGTATCAAATGAAAATTCTTGTCAAATCATTATCATACAAATACTGTTGTATATTGCACTTAATGAAATATTATCATACAAAAAAATAATTGTCATAAATTTGGCAATGGTCAACATCACCAAACAGTAGCAGCAAGTTGGTATGGTGACACAAAAAATTTGAAACTATGCTAGCCCAAATTAATGTGAGATTAGTAATGGTTAACCCATATTAAATTGTTGTTTGTTTTAAATTGAAAAAATGTAACATGATTAATTGTATTATGTTGTAAAGTATGCTCTCAATTATGGGTTGTATAGCTTGGACTAATAAATTAAACTAAACTAATAGATATAATTTATAGTATAAATAATATAATATAGTTTTTATAATAAAGTAAAAATATAGTATTTTATGATTGTTTCTATTTTATTTTTATGTAATTTATTTTTATAGAAAAGCAAAAATAAAGCAAATTTAAAATAATAAATTAAGTTAATATGGATAAAAAAAAATAAACAGAAGTAATTAAAATCAATGTAATAATATTATAATAAAGCAAAATACAAATTACATTGACTTTATTTATTTATAAAATAGATGATAACGATTGTGAATTGAATATATTCAGTATAAAAATAAAGTAAAATAATCTAAAATTTATTTCATTTCATATGTATTTTCTATAAAAACAGTAGCAGAACTATATACAGTAGAGTCCTGTACAACACTCAAATAAAGCAAGCAACACCCTCAAATTTTGTCGATCAGAGGTATATGTTTTTTTTAACTTAAAGGCCAAGGTTTAAACCTTCATAAATTGTATGATAATGCAATTTCCTATAATGTGTAATGAATCCCCCACTTTGTATAGGACTCTACTGTAAATAAAACTTGGTATAATATCAGTTTTTTAAACAAAAGTAATGTTTTCATTTAATGAATTTTGCTCTGCCTGCATAATTAGTTAAGATTTTTAAAATCTTAATTAATTAATTAAAAAGCTATTCAAATTTTTTTGTTTTGAAAACAGTTGTCCTAATTGTGAAATACAAAACTGTCTTAAATTAACATGCAAAGCAGTTTGTATTTTTTAATATAATTTATTTGCAAAAAAAAACATGTAATCTGTTATATAATAAGTCAATAACTGGCCATGATATTTGAAAATTAACTAAGATTAAAATGACGTAAAATACAAAAAATTATATTATAAACATTTATATGAAAATTTACCTTAAAATTACTAATTCGTTGAAAAAGATTTTCACAAATCACTAATGGAGGAAAAACTTCATCTTGTTTTGCACCTCGCTGCTGCTGCATTAATTCATTTTTCTGAATGTTTTTAAATATCTTTAATAATTTTAGACATTCCTCATTATGCAATGTAACTGATTTTTCAATAGTTTCAGAGTTTAAATCTGTGAATAAGCCATACAGCCATCTGGACAGAATAAAAAATAAGTTAAATAGAAAAATTAGAAAACATTATAAACTCATTATATATATATATTAAATACTGATATTTAAATATATATATATTTATATTTTGTTCACATGTAAGTCAATCAGATTAATGTACAGTGAGATATGAGTCTATTATGGTGAGAAATCCAGTTGAAATCTGATCTAGACCATTATTATTGATTATGTATAATTCAAATCAGGTTATCATTTTCCTTTCTGTGCTAGCTGATTCCATTGCAGATCAAATCTGCAATAAACAAAATTGTGGCAGTTATATTGACAAAACAATCATTATTTGTGTACATAAACTGTCTATGATTATGTAGAGAAAAAGTATTGCATGTGGATCAGACAGGTACTCATAGAATCACTAAGTCANTTGTACCTAATACCATTTTATTGATTACCATTTTTTAAAATTAACTTCTCAAGAAACTTAAGTTATTTATAGTCTTATCTCGTAATTTTGACCTAATTTTGTACAAAATAATTCAGATCACGAGAATACCCTTTCTGATTCAACACTTGTTGGACAAATGGTCATTAAATTAAAATTAAACAAAAACTATCTCACATAAAATTAATAATGAGATATATTGTTGCTTACACTTACCTGTTTTTTGTTTTTTTTTTTCAATGTCCCTATAGCCCATTTAAATATCTATAAACACAATATTTTCTACATAGAAATTTCTAGTATGGATTTTTCATTTACCGAATTACCGGTAAATTTCAAAAATTTACCGGTAAGTTTACCGAATGTTTTTGTGTCAATTTATCGGTTTACCGGTAAATCGGTAAACCGGTATACAATCCCTAGTTGTCAGTCCCTCTTCATAATATACCACCCAACCCCCAACATGGTGCTGCCATACAAAACATGCAAAAAAGTAGCAGATAAAAAGAAAATATTTTACAATTACAAATAAAAAACTGCATGTACATTAATTGAAATAATAATTTACAATATGAACATCCTCAATCGACAATTATAGGTGAGAAAATAAAAATTAAAAAAAATTTTACAGGATGACAGAGAGACTGACAATTATAAAAATAATGACACAAAGCATAAAATTAAGCCATAAAACTGAATTAGCTCTATGGGAAATCCCCATGAACTTTGACCCATTGACCTGGAAGTTTTGCCAGAAGCTCACTAATCACGAAAAAAGTTTAAGTTTGAAATTTGAACTTTCTATAGTTTTTCTGTGAGTGTCTACAGTGCTGGATGGAAAAAGGTGAATAAGAAGAAAATAGAGCTTTGTGTGGTGATTTTTGCACTTTTCAATTGCTTATATTAAAGCAATTGTATTACACAAAATTGTGAAATTTTGCACACTACCTAAGAAAACAATTTTCTTTTGAATGAGATATTTGGAATTACTTCAGGTGTTTGGGGGACAAAGGAATTGATCCCTGAAAATCAACAACTCTAATTTCTGTATATATAGTCAGTCACTGGCTTTTTTATTTGGCAGGAAGTGACCACTGTGACTCCTAATTCAAATTTAAAGAAATAAAAGTTTACAAATTAATTTATAGGCATATTTCAGATCCAGACACTAGGCAACTAGTTTGCCTAGACTTGGCTCCAGCCCTGTTCTTTAATAAAATATTCAAAAAACACCTTGAATAAATTTATAATAATATAGAAAAATGCAAGATTAAAAAAAAACATTGCCTAGTTCCCAACTAGCTTAAAATATCACCAAATCTGGCAATAAATTGTCAGACCAGACAACACTGTTCTCATGTTACTAGTTCATTACTATGCATCATCCCCAAAACAACAACCAAATATCATATGGCCACTGATGGTGAATCATGCACAGACAGGATGCTCTTTTATTGTGGGTTAGTTTTACAGCATGACATGGTCATTGCCATGATTGAATGCTACAGTGCAAAACAATATAAATGGTGCTTACTGACAAAAACATCAGAGCATAAATTTGTAAAATAAACCAATTTCAATATGTCAATACATTAAAATATTAGATCAGTACTTGCTATCATCTTTATTAATATCACATTCACATTTAATTTTAATAAAAATAAACTAATTATTCTCATTTTAAAATTTCAAAATTAAAAACATAAACTCATTTCATATATCTTACATTATTAATCCATTTAATATCTTCTTTTATGTCTTGAATATATTTTTGGATTGTTCGTACTTCTTGCCAATACTGAGGAACTAAACTAAGTTCTCCATTTTGTTTAAGTTCTTTAACTCGTTGCTTCATTATTTGTAACTGAGTATATACCTGTGTTTGTCTTTTACTAAGTGATTCTTCACATTTTTCTCTGCAATTATTTAAGTTCTAAAAAGAAATAACGAAAATATTTAAGTAATTTTCTTATATATTTTGTTTTANAAAATTAGAAAACATTATAAACTCATTATATATATATATTAAATACTGATATTTAAATATATATATATTTATATTTTGTTCACATGTAAGTCAATCAGATTAATGTACAGTGAGATATGAGTCTATTATGGTGAGAAATCCAGTTGAAATCTGATCTAGACCATTATTATTGATTATGTATAATTCAAATCAGGTTATCATTTTCCTTTCTGTGCTAGCTGATTCCATTGCAGATCAAATCTGCAATAAACAAAATTGTGGCAGTTATATTGACAAAACAATCATTATTTGTGTACATAAACTGTCTATGATTATGTAGAGAAAAAGTATTGCATGTGGATCAGACAGGTACTCATAGAATCACTAAGTCAAGAGATAGAATACCATTAAAATATTTATACTATTTTTAAAATTTACTGTTCAAATTTCAGAAATGTTATCTGTTTTTTTCTCATCACAAAGTTTTCTTACAACTGATAAAAATAAAAACCCATATATCACTACATATATTTATTTCCATATATCAAGTTGTTTAATAAGAAAAACAACAAAAATAAATGCATTAAAAATAATGTATTAAAACAAAATTTCAAGACACCCAATTGTCACATTTATAATAAAGTGTGTCCTCACTTATTTACATAATATTTTGAAGACATTTCAACAACAGTTAATTGTACAAACTGTAATAAATTGCCATAAAATAGATAAAACTCACTCATATAAGGTTACATGTTCCCCTTTAACTTATATGCTTGAATTGGCTGTCCTATATGGACCCCCTCTTATTTATTTCCAAGTATAATGTTTTAATAAAGACCAGACAGAATATTCTAGAACAGTGATGACCAACTGAACACCCATAAGCCAAATAAAGTCTGCCATACATTATATCTCCAGTAACCATATAGCTTTACCATCATAAACAGTAACAATAACCATAATTGCAATCAATCAATCAATAGCATAGAGAATTCATGTACATAAAATTCAAGAATTTCTGAGTTATGCTTTGCAATATATAAGACATGGCAATTAATTCCAATGATAATGAGATTTTAATTTTGTGCACCCATGAGGTAGTCTTTGAATATTTGTTTTAATACTGAGAAATCAAATATAGCAACAAGTCTTATACACTAAATTATGACATAATTCATAATACACATACACACACACAATATATATATATATCTTTTGACATAGTAGCTATCAAGATCTGAGTTGCTAAATTTTGAGGAACCATGTTCTCATTAAAAATAGATAAACTAGTAATATATGAAAATTTTCTTTTATATTTATTATTAATAAATATTAAATTTTGCATATAATAATTTTAGTATCCTCTTGTCTTATTTCCATTTAGGATTTGTAAAATTCTAACCTTTGGCCTCCAATAACATACTTATTCATTTCTGGCCCTCAAACATTCTGAAGTTTGCTATACAATACCCTAGTTAAAACTATTGCAGTTTCAATTGGATCATACTAATTTATGATACAAAAAGATGCATAAGAATTATTCTGGAATTTTATTTCCTGTTTAAATTGCTTCACTATAAAAACATTGTTAAAAAGTTTGTAATATTGTAATATTGTAGTGGGAATAACAAATGATGTCTATGACTGAATTAGCAAAGAATGTCTTTTCTAATCCATTCATACAGGATTATAACTTTGTAGTTATAATCCTGTATGATTGTAGATGTAGATTGCTCAAATAATTATGTACATCTTTGTAATTAGAGAGAATTTTTTATTGTTTTTTTTAAATATTTTTTAAATTAATAAAAACAACTGCTATTTGAAATGTCAATCAATTTAAGTTATGAATACTTAAAAGAAGAATTTATTTTTACCTATCTTCTAGTTTCTCCCAGCTCAAAAAGTTTGCATAAAGTTTGATGTATGGCTCCATTTCTTCTGTAATAGTTTGTGCTAGAGGGAACTTTGTAAGTTCAATATTAAACAATACTTCTTCCTACATGAAATATATGATTTATATCAGAACAATATAAATAATTTTGTAATTATTTAGTTTTGAAATTTGAGTAAATTATTTATATAAATTACAAAACTTTTAAATTAAATTAAATTGTTTTTTTAATTGTAATTTAATTTTAAAATAAATTATATGCAAATTGTTTAATTTTGAAAAAAGTTTAAAGGAAACAACATTTTAAAGAGAAAAGCTAATATTGAAAAACTTTGGCATGATTCATTAAAATTCTACTACAGATCTGAATAAATTTAACTAAAGTAAATATGAAAATTTTAATAGAAATCAAATTACTAAAGAAATAAATATTATAGTTTATTAGATCTTAACATAGTTATAAAAATTAATGTAATGATGATGTTTCTAAGCATCAACAACTTAAACTTTTAACTATTGCTTTTAATGAAGTTCTTTAACTTGTTACTTAATTATTTATAACTGAATATAGACCTGTATTTTTCTTTTAGTATGTGATTCTTCACATATTTCTCTGAAAATATTAATACTTAAGTAATTTTTCCATATGTTTTGTTTTAAAGATCTAGAAAGTAGTCATTATTAAAACACATTTGTCAATATTGCTCTTGATTCAATACTCAAAATTCAGTATCAATTAACAGAGCAAATCAAATAATGGTACTCCTTGAAACCAACTCTAAAATTCTGGTTAAATTTAAATACATTTCCTTAAGATTATAATTTTCTCTAAAAATAAAGATATTAAAACGTTGGAGAAATAAAATATTTTTTTGTTTTTTAAACAATAAAAATGATATCTTCCAAAGTTAGCACTCAGGGTACATACCCCCATCTACTCCATTCTAATTATATCACTGTTAATTAGAACTGTAGACTTATGCAATTTCAAGTTTCATGAGATACAAACTTTTCATTTACATTCATTTATGTAGGAGAAATGTAAAACTAATAATGAGTCTATATAAATATTGACTTAAATAAAAATTATTGTCTTTCAATTAAAAATGAAACACAGATTGCTATTACTAATTTTTAAGATCTGCACTTCTTACACTATACAAATTAAAGAATTTACAAATTTATATATTTTTTTCAATTTAAAATATGTACTGAAACATTACATTATTATAATTCTAAAACCTCTGTCATTATTTACAAGGAAAATAATAAAAATTGAAACTTCAATAAGATTCCATTAACACTCAATTTTTAATTTCAAACAGCTCTGAAATTTAATATAGAAAACATATTAAATGAAAGTAATTTATAAATATTATATAATTATTTAATGATTAGAATAAAAATCAAATTGATAAATAGTTTTCTTTTACTTTATATAATGACTTTGCATACATAAAACTATTTTAAAGGAAATAAATGTATTAAATTATTGTAAATTCATAAATTTAAAAGTGAAATTACATTAATTTTGATTCTAAATACAATAATTATAATTAGAAATACTGCAATACTGAATTATGCCAAAAGGATCCGATACAAATGATTTTTCAATTGATCTAATCCTTGCATGTATCCATAATCTACAGGTGTTGGTAATAAATAAAGCCTAAAAACTCATTAGTTTAGATAACATTCACTTTGTGCACTAACCATTTAAATCCAAACAAAAACATCTAAGATGTAAAAAAATTATGCCAAGCAAAAATTTATGACAATTTATATGATGGTCAAAATTTTTTTCTTAAGAGTTTTTCTTTGGTAAAATAAGCTAGGCACTTGGAGGTAAAATGTAGAAAACAATAATACAGTAAAAATCTTGTGAATACCACTTCCAAGTGCCAACAGAGCCGGCCCTACCATATGGCAAACGGAGCAGCCGCTCCAAGCGCTAAGTCCTAGGGGGCGCCTTAGTGGTAAAGAAATATAAAGGAAAAAATTTTTTTTCACTTTTCGATATTTTCGGGGGCGCCATAATAGGATCTAGCTCCATCCTAAAACTTGCCTCGGGCCGGCACTGAGTGCCAAGCTTGTCTTTACCAAAGAAAAACTCCTAAGAAAAATTTTAACCATCATAAAAATTGTCATAAATTTTTCTTGGCATAATTTTTTTACATCTCAGATATTTTTGTTTGGATATCAATTGTTTTTGTTTAATAATTGTATTATTACATCAAGACATAAGATGATAATACACAATTTGATCAGCACTCAGCAAGTAAACACACTGCTGACCAAACATGTTGCAAACCAATGCATCACCAATCAAACACNATAATGTGAATAGAGGCATTTTTTTATAATTTAATTGAACTTGTCAGCAAATATGCAAAAGAAAACTATTACCTGGAGAAACAGATGAAGGAACTATACTTTCAAGTCAGGATGAATTAAAACATTTGTTTTATGAAGTTGTTAAAAATATTATATCCCAACTAGTTTAAGTTTATTTTGTGATTGTTATTCAATAAACATTAGTTAATATTTTGAACATTCATCAATCTGATATATTAATTATAAACTTTTATTTTTTATGTTTATTACTAAGTAATTTTTATTTTTTGTTTTGTTACCAGTAACATACCAATAAAGGGTTAGATATTTATTTAATTTTGGCATTTAAAAGTGATATTATTAACTCCATAATGATGTTGATAAGATTTGAAAACTGTTGTAGATAATGAATAAAATATTCTACTAAAGATTGTATTTTCAAACTATATCAATATTTCGAAACATCCTGTATTTTTAACAAATAAAATGGTTATCATAAAAATTTCCAATTAAATTTTAAAAAATATACCTCATCACACTGGGAAAATAGAGGTTTTAGCTGTGATGGCCATTGTTGTACTTCAGTATTCAATTCTACATCATCCATTGTCATTGTACTTATTTCTAAAAGCACAAACATTCTTCTTGCCGATTCCTGTTGAAAATTAAAATTGTAATTTTTAAAGTTAAACAAATATCTTTACTGAATACTTTACCTTCACGTCTTGTAGCCAAAGGGGATACTGATTATTTAAAACATCTTCAGAATAATGTATCTGTTCAAACATTTCCTTGGAATTTTCAGGTACTTTCATTAATTCAATATTTGCATTTTGAAAATTTTTACAAATTCTGAAATAATATTGTTTATTAAAAACGTTCATTTTTAAAATGTTTAAGGTATTAAAATCACTTGATAAATACTAACAATAACCAAAACAAACTTTTGAGTTATCATTATTAATAATTTAATCAATCAAATTATATAATTTGGATTAAAATTAGTCAGTTAAGCTGCAATCTTGAGCTAATATTAATTATAAATTAACTTTTTGAATTAAATTGAATAATTTATTTAAATCCAGATGAAAAGAATGACAACAGAACAAATTTGAACTCAGACTTATATAATTCAAATTAATATGTCTGAAGAAAAGCTCAGACGAAGGTTCAAGTAGTGTAACTAAGTCTGCAGCTGCACAATAATCAGAAATTACTAGTTCAAGTTCTGCTCTAGGTCACTATTTCTTCCAAATTCTTCTAAATTATTTAATTTCATTCAAGAAATTAATTTATATTTAATATTAGCAGAAGATAGTAATCTGTCTATCCTTTAGTCCAACTTATATAAAAAAAATCTGGATTGTAGATCTCATAAAAAAATTTTTAATTTTTCAATTGTAATTTAAGTTTATTTAAATTATTGATTATCACTTATATTCTATTGTGTTGTTGATTTGTTTAATCTAGTACAATGATTACAACAACAATTATAAATATCTCATTAGTATTAAATGTGTAGTTTGCAAATGAAACAATAAACTCTTTATACAGGATATCCAAAAAAGAACAGATGGATTATGAAAAGTATTATATATTTAAGAAAAATAGATCAACACACACACTTTCAATAATTGTCTGCAAAACTTAAGAAGTTTTTCCCCATATTACAAAAACAGTGGGTGCTACTAATGCTGCAAGTAGAACTTTAGAATGGAGGTTTTCCTGAGCTATGAACAGAGCAAAATGGTTCAATTCAGTTTCCATCTGTTCCCAACATAACTACTTCAGACTTTTTCTTGTGGAATTATATGAAGGATCTGGTTTATCGAATACCTGTTACAGATGTTGAAACATTAAAAGGTCACATAATAAATGTATAACGTGTCTTCAGTGCAGTTGAAACTGCCATTCAAGACATGTTATGTAATACTTGGAAGAAGATCAAATATCATCTCAATATCATGAGAGTATAACAAGATTTATTGAAGATGAAATATTTTTTTGAGTTTGCTCACTAATTAGGAGAAACCCTGTGGCCTGAATCTATTTTCCTAAAATAAATATAAGTTTATGTAATCCATCAGTTCCTTTTTGGACATCCAGTATTATAAACTATGTTATAATATTTTCTATAATAAATTTAAATGAAACAAAAAAATTGAGAAAGTTTGGTTTTTGATTCTTGTTTTCTTCTCTGTACTACACATTATCATTACAATCATAATTTTAAAATGCTTTTTTGCACATACTTTGATTTGGTATATCATTGTTGATGCAACGTTCACTGCTAATGTAGCAAGTTCTTCTCTTGTGACAATTTGATAGACATGTTTTTCAAAGCCACTAGTTTCAGAAACTTGCATTTCAATAATTGTTCAAACATCTCTACAGATTTGATTATTTATTGATATTGATTTGATTATTTATCAGTTTTGTTTTCCAAAATTCTGAAAATTTGTACATTGAACTCACATTACTAAAAAAATTTATTGTGCAGTGCTGAATTTAGAGAAAAATTGTATTTGAGTGTAAATTATATGCATTCATTATTTTAATGTGAACAAATTAGAAAAAAAATGATAAAAAGAAAATGGTAATAAACTGAACTAAACCCAAATTAAAATACAAAAGCCAGGATGAGTGTAACTGAAATTAAATCATATAGTTATGATGCCATTTGGTTCATTAGAATATTCTTATTATAACTCTTCAATATGAAATATTGAAGAGTTATAATAGTGGAATACTATACTTATTAGATA